TAACTGTATGTATTCACCTGTGAACTTAAAAATTTTATAGCCACTTTTGAAAGAAATGTATCTTTGCTCTGGAAATTGTTATTGAGTATGTTAAAGCTGTAACGAAGTGCTTCTTCTAAAAAAAATTATTGAATAGCATACACACAGTAAATTCACATGATTTGAACATATGGCTTAAGAAAAGCAAAATAAATTTCTAGCCACCAAAAAAAAAAAAGTATCAGACTGGTGGAACTAACCTTCTTGGATGTCTAACAGCTATACTTTGAGGCCTATACCTCCTAGGTCGACTAAGCTCCAGAGGACTATGAGCAGCTCTCAGTGTCCTGTAACTGTGGTGCGTCATCTGTCCTCTTGATCAAGGAGGCCATGGAGACCCCACCAAATGGACTTGAACCAGTGTCCAGTCTACAAAGAGGAGGGTCAACACAGATAAAACATTTCCTCCATGCTGCCAAGTGAAGCCAGCCACGGTGGAGCAGGACCTTTGACTTTTCTTCACATAGATGGAACTGGTAAAAGAAAGGAGCCAGGGGCTCCTCCCAGGCCCATGTGACCCCTGAGGAACAGATCCTCAAAGGGCCTTAAGAGTAAAAATAAATTGGTTTATCTGGGCCAACTGTATGGCCTTAAAACACCCAAATGGAAAATATAACCAAGGACTAAAGGTATCATTATAATTCTTTAAGAGTCTGTACATAACAAGAAACAATGCCAGACAGGAGAAACCTTTCTTTGAGTTGTTGGCCAGGGTGGCCCAAGAGACTCCCAGACAGTAACCCAGCATAGAACTGGGAAAATGAACAGCAGAGCCCAATCTTATGTAAAGGAATATTGGGAACTGATTGCTGCTAGATGAGGAAGAGCTGATCTTCCTAAAACAAGGAACTCTAGATAGGCTGACTAGATTCAGCAGATGGACAAGCACTGGAGAACGGTTAGGGGCGCTGACAACACAGTGGACAGTAACAGGGATTACAAAGAGTATATGAGCTCCAGTCAGGGGTGGGGGGGACTATGGTAGGGTTCCATTTGGGATGTGAATATATAGATGAATAAGATTGTTTGGGATGTTCTGTATGAAATACACACAAAAAAATCAAATAAAAGTTATATTTGAGGAAGAAGCATAAAAATTTGTTCCATGTTGATTAGTAGAGGTGAAACACATTAGCATAGAAATCTACCTGATCATTTTATAATCCATGCTTAGGTGGATCTCAGAAAGTAACCAACTATGACTAGTAATAATCAGATACATAGAGATTAGAGACACATATGCAAACATCTAAGTGTTAGTAGCATTAAAAATGAGTTTTTCTCTATGAAACAGTATATTTTAAAATGAAATGGAGATCTTTTTAAAGGTTAAAACCTCATTCAGTTTTATCTTTTATAGGGTTTATACTGAGTTCAATATTGTATAACTATTAATTTAACTGTGAACCTAAAAATTTACAACCAATATTGAAAGAGATGCATCTTTGCTCTGGAAATTGTTAGTGAATATGTTAATGCTATAATGAAATGCTTCTTCTAATCATGCGGTTATTAAATAATTAAAAAATAAAGACTTACTAGGTGGCATTTAATGAGTTAATATGACAGACATGCCAAGAATTTAGCAAAGCATTTTACATGTAGTTTTTTTTTAGTCCTCACCAACCTTAGGAGGTAGTTAATGTCATTATCCCAGTGTTATAGATAAAGATATGAAGCATAGAGAGGTTTAATTGCTGTTAACTTGTCTAGGTTGGATGGCTAGTCATTGACAAAAAGCCTGTGCTTCTGGGCAGTGTCCCATACTGCATCCTCACTTTTAAGATGTCTTACAATCCATCCCACACTTCCCTTATGCTTCTTCTGTAGTTCATCCATACTAGCCTACTGTGTATAGCTTCTTTAATGTCATATTTTTAGTCTCACTTTATCCATTTGATGAAGCTTTTTTTTCTTTTAAGAAAATATCTCCCTCCCTCTAACTCTGTGCCTCTTTCTCTTAGTCAAAGTACCATTTCTTTGTGTTTCTATAGTACTGTATTTTGTCATAGAGTGTTACTATGGCCTGTTTCCTTTTCTTTGTTTTCCTTTTAAGTGGGTGCTATATCTCATTTATTCCAGGGTGCTTGGGAAATAGAGCATAGTTATCTGTCATATGATAAATTTAGGAATGTTTATTTTTTGAGTTTGCTACTATATTAGTGGAGAAAAGATACAACAATCTGTCCATATTGGTGGGTTCTACATTTAACCAACTTTGGAGAAAACTATCCAGGAAAAAACTGCATCTGTACCAAACATATGTTGACTCTTCTTCATGATGTTATTCTCTAAGTACAGCATAACAGCTATGTAGTACTTACACTGTATTAGATACTGTAATATAGAAATGACTTTAAGTATTTGGAAGAATTTCATATGTTACACAAATATTACCATTTTAAAATGGCTTTGACAGTACCTACGGAGGTCAGAAGAGGGTGTCGGATCCCCTGGAACTGGAGTTATGGATGGTTGTTATCTGCCATATGGGTATTGGAACCCATACCTCTTACCTGTGCAAGAGCAGCCAGTGCTCTTAAGTGATGAGCCATCTTTCCAGCCCCAGCTAGTGTCATTTTATATAAAAGGCTTCAGGTGCTCAGATTTTGGTGTCCACAGGGGTCTTAGAACTTGTACCCTATAGATTATGAAGCTAACTGTACTCACACAAGAATATAGCTCAGGATGCATTAACTAGCGTGTCTGACACATAAATGGTAGTAAAGGGGTATAGTAAATGAAGAGGTACAATTAGTCCAGATTAGTAAAGGAAGCCTTCTTTTCCACTGAGGTAGAATTTTTTCTCGGCTCCGCTCCTTCAGTTTTGACTTTGAGCATGTCTGTTGTCCTTTTCTCTACCTGTTATTGGCTGCTTCATTTCAAGGTGATTTTTATTTCCCTACTTTGAAATGCTAGACATTTTATGGGCACTTCACCATTTCTCATTATGCGTAGCTTCTTTTTCCATCTTCTCTCAGTAGTGAAACACTTTTCTTCTTCTTTTACTCCATAATGGTTTCAAGGATTTCAGTATTACTCAGAGTTTCATGGCAAAACCTTTTGAGGGGCTGAGTATGGAAGTATATACCTATAATCCCAGCAATGGAGGTGGATGCAGGTTGATGGCCAGCCCAAGAGTAACTTGGACTATGTGAGACCTTTTCCGAAAACAAAAAATACCTGGGATCCCCAACAAGTAAATCTAAATTAATTGCTTCTGTTGACATTTAGAACTAAAGATTTAAACAGATGCTACTCTGTACTGAATCTACTAAGTCTATTATTGGGTTCTCTAAGGTAGAATAGAATGTCCTCAAAACACTATCAGATTACAGAGCTAAATCCTCATGAAATCCTCATATGAAAGTTATGTTCCTCATTTTATTCATGCGTTGCCTTCAGTGTCTCAGTATATTTGTCAAGACAGCTTTCTATGTGTTCTTTGTAAGTTATTAAGATAGAATTTTATTAAGTAAAATTAAGAAATTCCTCAGTAATGAAAGATTTAACAGATAAAGACAATGTATGATTGATATAGTTTAAATTCTTATGGGGGGTGCACACCATTTTGTAGTATTTTGTTTTATGTAGTAAATGCAGTAAATTAGCTGCCTTGGTTCTTTCAGCTCACTGTTTTGTGTAAGTGCTACTGCTTTTACAGTCTTTAAAATGACTAAGAAAGGATAATTTTTTGTTGTTTTTTTTGTAGCTTTTTAGCAATTGATCTTTTTCTCGTCGCATCCCTCCCCTTTTTGGGAGGGGGGGTCTTTTCCTTGTAGTCCCAGCTGGCCTGGAACTCACTATGTAGAACTCACAGAGACCTGCCTGCACCTGCCTCCCAAGTGCTGGGATTAAAGGCACACGCCACCAGGCCCAGCCCATTCTACCACTTTTATGTGCAGTCAAATGATTTTACTTGCTGTTTATAAAACACAGATCTTATTGTGACAAGTCTTTTCTATGTTATTTTGACAATGGAAAATTTCAGAGTAATATTTTACTATCTTTGAATGTATTACATAAGACAAATTGCTGGTGAGTTGGCAAAATAAACCAGGCATAAGATTGAAAAGCAACAATGAACAATAGCTACTTAATATTTTCAGTAGACTTTTAGAATATATTTTATTTTATTTTTATTTAATTATTTATATATGTGTATGTGAGTACAGTGCTGGAGTTACAGGCTGCTGTGAGCTGCTTGACGTGGGTGCTGGGAATTGAACTTAGGTCCTCTGGAAGAACAATACAGGCTCTTGACCATGGAGCCATCTCTCCAGCCCCAGTAGATATTTTTTAAAGAGTTCTGTCTGTATGAAATATTACCCTTTGTTCTTTTTATTGTGCTTTAAGATACTTGATTTTGTTTTAATGTTTACAGAAGCATCAACATAAATTTTATTTCCTATTATGTTTAGGACAAAGCTATATATCATTAACTTATTTTTTAGATTTTTACTTAAGAGCAGTTTCTTTTTGATGAGAAATAACTAATGGTCTAATCAGAATTAGAACTGAGTTTATTGAATTTCTCATAATTCATGTAAACTACAGTAATCTTCCCTGTTTAATTTATAACAAAACTATTTGGAAATTCAGATTTTGTTTCATTGAGCTATTTTGAATGAACAATAGCTCAAATGTTAAGTCATAGATTTGCTGTTTGACTTCTTTTAATATTTGGTAGCCATTTATTATTTGAAAATATTCAAAGTATATACATCATTAGCGAAACCCATCTGTTACAGCAGTCATTGACTTTATTTTAGCCAGAATTTTCTGTGCTTTGATATTTTGTAGCATCTGATTTTTAGATGTGAATTTAAATTAATTTTTGAACCTGGTTTTATATTTTAAATAAAAATAATTCCTCTAAATGTGTAAACATTAATACACTTGATCAGAGAAGGAAATAACACGATATAAATGCATGCTCACTGGTTTTCTTTGTGTAACAGCACTGAAAAGAGACGCAGGGAGCAAGAAAATAAATATTTAGAAGAACTAGCCGAATTACTGTCAGCCAACATCAGTGACATTGACAGCTTGAGTGTAAAACCAGATAAATGCAAGATTTTGAAGAAAACAGTCGATCAGATACAGCTAATGAAGAGAATGGAACAAGGTAAAAGATGACCATGTTCTCGCTGTTACTACTTTATGATTATCCTTCCTCTCTTCCATTGTTAGTAACCTGTATTGGTTCATAATTTTTTTAAAGGCATGTTTTTGTTTAGATGGTATTTACTTTATTGAGTGAAAGAACAATTCTTGATATAACAAAGTGGCTTACTACATTAACTTGAAACTAGTGAAACAGCTCAGGAAGATTTTGAAACCCAGTGTCATAGGGCTTTGAAGCAGGAGACATAAGCTGTAGGGTAAGACCTTAGGCCCCGGCATAGAACTGAAGTAACATAAGCCCTTGGATGAAAATCCCTCTTGCCTGCCTCAAGAAGCTTGCCTCTACCTGAGTTCTCAATGGGGGAAATAGTACTCTAAAAAAAAAAAATCCTATTTTATTTTTGAGATTACTATTTATAACACCCATACTTACTGGGAACCCTGCAGGTTGCCTGCCAGAAACAAAGGCAGAGCACTTTGAGGGAACAGTTCTACAGCCTGGCTCGTGAAGTGCTATAGAATCTGTAGGTGAGTATACTATATAATGTATGAAGAAATAATCTATGGGAAGTAGGAAGAAGCAAAGTGACAAACAGGAGGAAGAGGCCCCCTAAACCTCCAGATTAATAGTCTCAGGATGAAAAGACTATAGACAAATATAAATTAAATTTATTAAAGTTGTGTTATTTAAAGCTTTTAGAAGCTAGAAAGCATTCTAGGGACAACTGATTTAGGGAAAAGGATAAACTGTACTAGAAGCCTCCAAATACAACAGCCTCGCTCTTGGTACCCTAAGCCAGAGATGGTACAATTCCTCTGAGAAAACTGAGCAGTCCATGGACTAGACATTTGGGGATCATCTTATGTGGAAAGCTTAGCTCCTCACCATGCTCCACCTCCTCTCAATGGTTGCCAGGTGGCATTTTAGTGCCTCTACATGAACAGAAACCCCAGGCATTTTAGGAAAGCCCGCAATTTAAAAAAATTAAAAACAAAAGAGAAACTCAGAGGAAGCAGAGATAATGCAAGAATTGGGAGAAACCTAAAATGATCAGTCACTCAGAAGCATAGAGAAGATACTGCACCCATGAAAACCAGTAACTTTCGAAAGTTAAAACAGTCATTTTACCACTTTATTGTGTTTCTTCTCTTTCCTCTTTGTGCTGCAAGCTCCAACCATTCTGGGTAAACTGTGCCAGGTGTTTGCATTCACTGTTCCCTCCATCAGACATGCTTTTTCCCAGATACCTACTGTCTGGGCTCAAATGTTTTTGTTCAAATGTCTTCTCAGTGGAATTGGTCCTTAACTACTCTATATTTTTATTTGTTTTTATTTTTTTTCTTAGTAAAAGCAAATATTTTAACGTATGGAACAAGCTCTACACTGAATTAGTTATATGTGTTGATTCATTATACAATCACTCTGAAAGATAAAAGCAAGCTAGATCTAGGACTTGTAGTCTTATGTATAATTCTCTAAAGATTATGTTGGAAAGGAGAAGTTGGTCCTAAAATATTGGTTCACTTATCTTGAGAATATTACTTTTCTGATAAGATCCTCTGTTTTTTTTTTCATGTACTCTTTCTTCTTTTATTAGTATTATTTTTAAACATTTTATTTATTATTTTTATGTGTATGAGCGCATTGCCTGCATGTAGGTAAGTGGACCCCTGTCGTGCAATGCCCACAGATTACTGAAGAGGCTGTCAGATCCCCTGGAACTGGAGTTACGGACAGTTGTTAGCTGCCATGTGGGTGCTGGGATTTGAACCTGGGTCTTCTGCAAAAACAGCCACTGTTCTTAACCGCTGAGTCATTCTCCAGTCCCCTTTTGTTATTTTTTTATGGGGCTTTTGGCTACTCTAACATCCCCCGCCCCTCTGAAGAGATAACCCTAAAATCTTTTAAAGATTAGATAAAAGCTCCCAAATACTTTGGACATTTTTGGCCTTTGGAACAGAGTATGTCGCTAAGAGGCCCAAGAACATTGTGAGTTTTAGCCAAGAAACTGGCTACATTTCTTTGGGGTCTTTTTACCCTAACTGCCTAGCCAATTCCTACCTCCTGTTCTTATCACACCATCCTCTGAAGAGGTTACCCAGTTTGCAGATGGGAAATCGGGACACAGACCGCTCTGGCTTCTTCCATGCTGAACAGGGACGCAGGATGAAGTAATTGGGGTACCCCTTCAGTGGGTCTATCTAAAAGACTCCCAAATTGCATAACTCGTAACTGTAGGGGGAAAGAAAGTCCTTGACTGGTGACTAGGAGATGTGAAGAAGGAAAGGCAAGAGTAATTAGCATTACAAGTTCTAGAAGAGGAACGTGAAAAAAGTCAGAATAGGGCAATTTTCAAATGTTCATATGAGAGTCCATTGGAATTTCTTGACAAGGGCTTCCAAAAGCATCCTGCTATTGAGTTCCTCCTTTTTCTTTTGTCTTCCAAGGCTGGACTGTAGAGTGATGGATTCAGGATTTGCTTTCAGGTATTTTGATAGCTGTTAAAGTGCTTGGAATCAGTGTCAGTTCCCTCTCAAATGCTTCTAGATAGGGGGAGAAAACAAATTTATCCACTGTTTTATTTTTATATATTTTTTATTTATTATTTTTATTTTATGTGTATGAGTGTTATGCCTGCATGTAGGGAAGTGTACCCATGTCATGCAAAGCCCACAGAGGACAGAAGAGGCTGTTGGATCCCCTGAAACTGAAGTTAAGGAAATTGTTAGCTGCCATGTGGGTGCTGGGTTTCAAACCTGGGTCTTCTGCAAGAACAGTCACTGTTCTTAACCGCTGAGCCATCTCTCCATCCCCTATCCATCAGTTTAGAACAATAACAGGTTGTCTCCCTTAGCTACAGGTGGGTGCTACAGTATCAAAATTTGAAGTCTTGCATCTGAGCTGCAATTTCTGATTAGGAACAAAATCATCAATGAGAAATAATTGTCTAAATAACTTTTTATATGGACTTAATCTTAATGTCTGGGAAGTGTAATCCCTTGAACTCTTAAAGAAATATACTGAAGACTTTAATCTTTGGTTATACTTTCCTTTTAGTTTAAGACCATACAGTTGGCCCAAATAAATCAATTTATTTTTACACTTAAGTTCGTTTGAGGATCTGCTCCTCAAGGGATACATGGGCTTGGGGCAAGCCCCTGGCTCCTTTCTTTTACCAGTTCCATCTATGTGAAGATAAGTCTAAGGTCCTGCTTGGTCATGTCTGGCTTCTCTTGGAAGCATGCATGAGATATTTCCTCTGAGTTGACCCTCCTCTTTGTAGACCAGACACTGGTTCAAGTCTATCTCATGGGGTCTCCATGGCCTCCCTGAAGAAGAGGACAGGTGACTCACCACAGTTACAGGATATTTTGAGAGATGTTCCATAGTCCCCTGGAACTTAGTAGACCTTGAAGGGCAGGGGGCAAAAACTGTCCTTTAAGTCCCTCTGACCAGATTAGTATAGACCTTAAAGTATGGCTGTTAAATATCCAATAAGGTTAGTTCCATCAGTCTGGTACTTTTAATTACCATGTACTGTGTAGATAAAGCTTGTGTAAAAAAACAAATAGTCTCACATAAACCCTGACTAGAAACATATTTTGTTCCTTAAACTAGTTGACTAAACTAAGACCTTAGAAATTTTAAGATTATGTGTATATTTCTTTGTCTCATCCTTTATATATCATAACAAACCTACACAGACCTTCATCACTTGCTTAGGCTTCCTCATGTTTTCTGTCTATTTTGGAAAATATCTCCATTCCCATATCCTTTTGTCATCTTTTACATTCTCATTTTCTTTTTTTTCTTTAAGGTTCTAGTGTCAAACCAATGTTTAATTAAAGTTTTGCTGGGGAACCAATGAATTTACTGAGCTTACTTACCAAGATAACTGAGGGGTTGTTGAGGGTATACACACTTGAAAGCCTTTACCCAGCATGAGTCATGCCTTCCCTTTCTAGCCTTCCCCAGATCGTATACTTTAGGCCTCCCCAAATCCAGGAGACCATGTGTGATTAGGGCCAAATTACATACAATTGGCTGGGAAGAGTGGCTGGATATTTTATGTGTATGAGTGTTATTCATGCATGTATGTAATTGTATCTATGTCATGCAGTGCCCAAGGAGGCCAGAAGAGGGCATCAGATCCCCTGGAACTGGAGTTATGAATGGTTCTTAGCTGCCTTGTGGGTTCTGGAATTTGAACCCAGATCTTCTGCAAGAAGCAGCCAGTGCATTTAATCATTGAGCCTTCTCTCCAAGTCCCAAATTTTTTTTAAAGACGAAAATGTGCATATCCTTCGATGCCTTTCTTGTTTTCTTTTTCTCACGATATTTTTTACATCTGATATGTAAGTTAATGTTAAGTAATCCCTTTGAAAGTAAAATAAACAGACATGTAATAGAAAATAAGACAGACAAAAGATAAGAAATTTGTAGAATTAGTTCAAGACTAGTTAGAAGAGAATAAATGACAGGAGGAATGAAGTAAAATTTGCAGGTAAATGGATGGAACTAGAAACTGTTATACTAAGTGAAGTAACACAGACTCAGAAAAAAAAATCGACATATGTTCTCCCCCATATGTGGATCCTAGAACCAAACCCTGATAAATAAGTATGCAACCAGACATAATTACAGGAACCAGGATAACGGAAAGGAAACAGGGAGGCAAAGGAAAAGAAAGAACCTGAAAGAGAACAACAGTAGGAAACAGGCCTTAATAAGGGAGATATGGGTAACAATTGGGT